TGTTGGAGGAAATTTGAGGTGGAGCTTGAATCATCAAGAAAACTTAGAAAAGTTCCATACTTAGAAAAGTTCTAAGTGTTGAAACTTGATTTTCACCTTTTTCTCGACTTTACCTCTCCATATCTCTTGATCTAGACATCTTTTGGACTTGCTTTCTTCTAAAAACTTGTAGTTCATGATTTCCTCTCCAATTTGATCTTTGTTTTGCACAAAATGGTCCAAGGATGAGTGAGATATGACCGTTGCAAGATAAATCAAATTTTTGATTTTCATACTTAGTGAAGTTTCCAATAAAACCCTAATTTTGCCAACCTTCTTGATTTTATTATTATTCTTGATTCTCCTTGATCCAAACTCATAATAACACTTGAGATGACTTGAAATGCCCATGATTGACCAAAAACTCAAGATTTTGACTATGTGAGGCCACATTTGACTTTATTGATCAAATGAAACCCTAATCCTCTTTCCATTGACTGAGGCCTATGCAATGACTTGTGATAAGACATGATACATGTAGGAAAACCTTAGGATGTGTATTGAGCCATAGAACCTTGCCTTTCTTAAGAAGATAGCCACAAGTTCCCTTTGACCAAAATCATAACTCATGAATAAAACATAGGAAAGTGTGGTCAATGCTTGAAAACCCTAATCCATTGATTGTGTGAGATTGCTGAGAATGCCTTGATGAATAAAAGGACTTTATAACTCAATAATGACATAATATTGAGATTATCTCCTTACTCCTTGCTTTGAGAACTATCTCTTTCTCTTGAGAAAGATCAAGAACCCTTGATCCCATGCCTTAGGAACAATGTGATGCATAAATGAAGATACAAATGAAATGAAGCATAAGCCAAAAAGGTTAAAGAAAAGGAGAGAAAATTTTGGGATGTTACACTATGGAGATGCATATTTGGTCTAATTTAAGTGTCTAATGGCTTCTGAGTGTGATGTATTATATGTTTTAAATTGTTACGGAGATGCTTCTTCAGAATATTTCAATGTTCATTTAGAATTTGGTGCGTCCATAGATGCATCTCCAGAAACTATGAGCATTTAAATAATTTTGCATGGTGGATAAGAAACATAAATGGTGCATTAAGAGATCCTAAAAAATAAATGTAATAGTTTTTTCCTTTTGCCTTTTTCTTATGTCTCGTGTGAGAATAATGCTTTGGTTGCCATAATTTTAGCATGGTATTAGCAGATATTAACTTAGATGTTGTCCCATAAATATTGATACCTATTGGTTGTTTCATTGTCATCTTTATCTTCTTCACTCTCAAAATATTCTTCCATATGTCCTCATATCCTCTGAGATTCAATATTTCTGACAAAAAGTTATCTCCTTCCAAGATAGATGTCTTCATCATATTCCACAAATTCCGTCTGGATCTCCCTCTTTATCGTACCAGGCTAACTTGAGTTGATTTTCTGCTTGATCCATGGGAAGAGCATGGCTTCCTAGATCTCCCTTGGAGCTTTCAGATGGAATTTGGTGTTCCTTGCTCCTCATCTGATTTCTTGATTTATGAGATTCATTTTTCTTCGTCGCGATCGACTTAGGAAGGCAGTTTGAGTTCTCCTTGAGACAATATTTTGAACTATCTTTCCTTGTGGAGGAGCATTGTGGAGTCTTTCTTAGAGGTGCAACAACCTCTCCTCTATTTCTTGAAAATTATGCTACCACGCGATGTTGTACATGATGTTCACCAACTCATTAGCGCTTTACAATTCAAGGTTTGCTTGCAGTAGTTAGAAACCAGGTAAGACTTCAGATTGTGATACTGGAGGTAGAATTAGAGGTCCAATTAGAGGCATTTGGATAGATCCAGGTATCTGAGGAGCATATACCAGATCTAGATGCAATGAACCTCCACTCCCGGATTCGCAATGCCTTACGGAGGAGATGGTTGATTGATTGCTACTTTAGTAGTGGTAATGGTGACAACTTCTTGCATAATGGAAAAATGAGTATCTTTGGATCCAACCATTACTTGGAAGAGTATGAATCAGATATCTGGAAAGTTAGGAAATCAGAGTTCAAACGATGCTTGATTGGATCGAATGCGACGAATCTTCATGTTAGATTTTGTGTGCTCTCGATTAGATGACCTAAGAAGGTTTTAAATTGATGAATCGAAGAGCAAATGTGAAATTGTTGAAAACGCATGAATCATAAGTCGATTTCCACATACGACGTCACTATTCCATTCTGGAACCAACAATGGAGTAAGGATCGACGGTAATAACATATCTTAGCTTCCATTGCAGCAGAAAGTGGTCGAGTTGCATGGTTGGAACTCCAACGCTCAAGTCACTGGGTAAGGGAGAAAAGCAAATTGAAAATGAATTTGAAACTTAGCACCCGAATTGACACATTCTCTACATATAGTAGAAAGAGAATAAAAAATGTGTTATTTTTCATACGTGGATCATGAAGAGTCATTGAATGCACCTGAAGTTTAAATACTTTGTGATCATTTATAGGATAGTTCTCATGTGCTGAGAAAATTATAGAAGAATTGCAACTTTTTTAGAATCGTCGTGCAGAATTATATATATATATATATATATATATATATATATATATATATATATATATATATATATATATATATATATATATATATATATATATATATATATATATATATATATAAAAGAAAGGAGAAAAAAAGTTTACATTATCAGATATACGGTAAATACAAGCACCAATGTTGTTCCATTACTTGGAAAAAAAAGTACAACAACAAAAAAAGGTCCAAATACTCTATGCGATCAAATCGGTGAAATGCATTTGTATCCATTATTTCTTGAAAAAAATCATGAAAGTGTTCTGAAATAATCTTTAAGCATCTACCATGCATTGACCTCAAATCCTATAGGTTATTCTTTTTATGAAAATTTTCACTAGCTGGTGATGAATGAACAATAATATTGGAACCTTCTAAAATATATAACCCACATATTTTAGACCTTTTAGCCATGATCACTTCACTATGAAAAATCTTTATCACTCGATCCTCAACTCTAGTGCAATAGCCTAGATCATCAAACATGTTTAGGGATAAAAAAATTTTCCTAAGCTCTGGAAAATACCTTACGTTGTGAAGAAGAAACTCTCGACCATTGACATTTCAAGTTTGGTCATACAAATGTCATGAACCTTTTAAGCCTTATTATCGCTAATGTGAACTACTCCACCTTCCTCCAACTTTAAATTCTTAAAATATTCTTTTATTGGACAAATGTGATAATAGGTACCTTAACTCATGACCCAAACCTCTTCATCTTCAAACTCGACGCCACTAATACACTAGCACTCTCATGACTATCCACATATGAGCCAACTATAATTATGACATAATCATCATTTCCCCATCTTTGGAAAATCCCTTAGGAAGTGGCTGGTTTTATGTCAAGTGAAACATTTTAACCTTGACTTGTCAAACCTCTTTGATTTCGATATTCCTATATGTTTACTTCCCCCTCTTTGGAAACTTAACCCTTCACCACTATCGTCAATCTTTAAATCTTTCACCTTCGAAAATTCCTTAGATCTCACAACTGTCTACACTTCATCCAAAGTAATAATATTTTTCTTGTCATAAATAATGAAATCCTTAAAGTGCTCAAAGAATGTGACTAATGAGTTTAACAAGAGTAGAGACACCCTGTTAGTTTGGAAATTTTAGTTGAAAGACTATTGACAATGAATGGTCATAAAATGCTAAGTGTTAAAAAGCCTCAAACATAGCTTTGACATATTAACCATGTCGAATAAAAATGGTTTGACCACCTTGTCAGAGTATCTGGAACATAATGTATTTTAACACTCATGGAGCCTAGTTTGGAGGAGTCTCAAGAAGAGATCCACAAGATTAGGATCACTCTCTCTTTAAAACAAGTCTAGAATGCCGAAGAGGTTTATACGAATCAATACTTCAACAAAGGTTAAGTTTGACACATCTATTAGATGTTGGGGACTTAATGTATTTTTAGTTTTAAGTCAACCAATATAAGGATGTTGAGAAAACACTATAGGAGTCAATCAAAGATTCTCTATCGACGAAATAGTTAAGGAATTCAAAGGAAGTTATCAGCATATTGGGTGATTTTAAGCAGTTTTATCATTGAAGACGCTTGGAAGCAAGTTAGAGTGTTGAATCCCACATAATGGGATACCTGTTAAATTCTGTTGAACTATCTGTTGTCCACAATTACTACAGTATTGTATTATTATATAAGTCGATCTCATTTTCGGGATCATGATTGCAAATTTTCATTTTTATTTTCTATAGAACCAAAGTATTCAAATCACATATAGAAACAGTTTGTGAGAGAAAATGTATGTTTGTGTCCTTTATTTAAGTCTTTTCAATTAAATCATTTACATTTATGACATTTATTATGCTTTTTGTATGTTTTCTTCTTCCAAAACCATTTTACTTTGTTTCAATTAAAATTTATATTCACTTTGTCAATGTTCAAACATTTAAAGATCAATTACACACACTTTTTATTACACTTTTCTGCACATATTGTCCTTAAAATTTTTTTTGAGTTTAATCCATTTAATAAATTAAAATTCATCATTATTTACTAAAAAATACTAATAAACACACCTCTTTTCACCGCATCGGAGACGCACCCTAGCATATCGGTTTCTCAACATCATACCATACCACAGATCTTTCGTTCCACGATAGAACAACTTTAATACCATTAAATATGAAAATATATATCTTGAAAAGCATTTAAATTTTAAAATATAATTAAACTACAGAAACAACTAGACAAACAATTCTAACCTCAATATAAAATCTTTAAATAAAAAGAAACAAGGAGAAAGAATTAGGATGTAAAAAAAATGTAAAAATCATTACTGTAATTCAATCAAACAGAAACAAAATAATTAAGAGCTCTTCAATTCTGAGCACATTAGAATGATTTTTTATTTTTTTTTTGATATATACTTTTGCCTCTCCTTTAGATCAACAAGAACATGAAGGCAATTTCTTCATTTCACTAATTTCCAATTCAGAACCTGAAATTATATCAATTTTCTCCCCTTTAAGTGCTGCAACATCATGATTACCATTTCCCTTAATCCCATTATTACACACCAAAGACCTTTTAGAAACAACCATATTAATCTCTTGAAGCAACTTCAAAAAAGCAGAGTTAACATTTTCACCGCTAAAAGCAGAAGTTTCTGAGAAAAAAAGGCCCTGATCCTCTGCAAACTCCACAGCATCTTCAGTTTGTACAGCTCTTTGGTCCACAAGATCACCTTTGTTACCAATTAACATGATGACGATCGAACCGTCGGCGTGTGATCTCAGTTCCTCAACCCATCTAGCAACATGATCAAATGTTTGTCTTTTAGTTATGTCGTAGACTAGCATGGCCCCTAATGCTCCTCTGTAGTATGCACTTGTCACCGCTCTGTACCTAAAAAATAAAAAATATATAAATTAAACGTAATTACAAATATCAGTATCAGTTTCAGATACTAACATAGATAGCAACACAGACACATTTTTTTTGAAATGTTCGTGTTGAAGAAGTTATTCATATACAATGTAAGTAAAATATAGATATGAGATTATAGGAAGAAAATAAACCTTTCTTGGCCAGCAGTATCCCAGATCTGAGCTTTGATGAGCTTACCGTTAATAGTGACAGTTTTTGTTTGAAACTCAACACCAATGGTTGATTTTGAGTCAAAACAGAACTCATTTTTTGTAAACCTTGACAATATTTGCGTTTTTCCTACTGCAGAATCACCAATCACAACAACCTTAAACACATAATCTATTTTCTCTTGAAGCTTTTCAGCTTCTACTCCATTCATTTCTTGATTCATTTTGTTCTCAAGATCAAAAAGAGGCTCAAGAGAGATATGTATTAGTAGGAAAGGTAAGTAGGAGAAATAAATAAAGTAAAGGAAAAGGAAAAGAGTTGGAAGAAAACATGAACTCGACAACAACGGTTGTTGAATTACCGGTGTTAATGGAATTGTCTCACTTTAATGCTTTACCGAATTAAGTGTACTGCTGCACCATATCATATCATAATATATATGGTGATATTGTTTAGATATCATATTATTGCTTTTATTAGTAGATTATTAATCAAAGTTTCTAGAGGTTGTGATGTTTTGCAAGGGATTTGGAAATTGTCAATTATTGAGTGGTTGAAGAGTAGGATATTTTTAAAATTATACTTTTTGAATTTATATGTGATTTTTATATTGAAATTTACTGTTCAATTCAATTTTGTATAAAATTATCGTAATTTATTAATGGGAAGAGAAAACACATTGACCAGTGATATGATATAATTGTGTAGCATGAGCATGGCCTACCATACCATACAATTAAATTCAATCCATCCACACATGACAGGTCTAAATTAAATTCATTGTCCCATTTAGTGACCATGGGGGCAATACTGCATAGACAAATATAAGAGAACATTCTTTAATTTCAATGCAGCGACGGAGCAGTCGACACAATATCACAAGTTAGGGTTTTCATTTTTTGCACCGACAAAGATGACACCCCCCACAATTATCACTTCTTGTTTGGGCTCCCTCGTTTCTTTATTAATATAAAATCCTCAAACATAACTAAAGGGTACTAAAAAAAAAAAGTAGTTTTATATATAGTTTAACACTTATTAATATAATAAGAGACAAAAAATTTTAAATATTTTTTTAGTACTTTCAAAAATGTTTATTATAAGAAACATATTAACAATATTAATAATTATTTTAATATTAAACTCAGGTTCATGAGGTGTTGGCGGACTATTAGATGACGGTAGTTTGTTGGAATTTTCGTCATCGATCCTGATAAGTGAGAGTGTAGAGATTTTTATGGTTAGAATAATGTGTACCTTGAGAGATGGTGATGTGAGACTTATATAGTCTTAAAGATGTAGTATTGGACCTGAGTCATCTAAATGTTCACTTTGGATCATTTACCCCCTCCCCCTCCAAGCATTTAGCTAAGATAGTCAGGTGATGGCTTGTGTTTGGTGCTTTCTCGGGTCCATAAATGAATGATTAAGAGCCTCTTGTTAGGACCATCGTCAATTAAATATGTCGTGTTGAGTGATCTGATGACAAGGTTGACTTGTGAACATAACTGTTTTGACTTTAAAGCATTTTTACATCTGTGTTACTATCTTGGAGGATGTGTGACTCTTTAAAATTTTTCTTTGATCTTTGTTTTATGTGTCAGGTGTTATCGACATCCCAACATATTTGGAAATAAGTTATCAACCAAAATGTAATTGTTATTGTCCCTAACCCAAGGAAGGATACTCAAATCGATGTGGAGGCGGATTCACTACCTAATTGACTTAATGCATATCCGAGAAGTGGATGTACTAGGGAAGTTAAGGGCCAGAGTTCTCACTCACCCATCATAGGGATGTTCACACGTGTTTTTTGCGCGGACAACCTTTGACCTCTCGTCGCGGATTTGCTTGCGGGACTGGCCAAACTAGTCTCAGGACTCTGGTACTGGGTGAATTGTTTACTTAGAATTTATGGTGCACTCGTCGGTTGTTCGCTTTTGGGAGTGTGTATGATGAAATCTAGGCAAGTAAAGACAACGATGTTCCTAATAAAACAAAGAAATGCTGGAAAAAAAAGTAAAAGTGTTGCTTTCATAACATAAAGACTTACTAAATTTAATGTAAAAAAGAAAAGTACAACTGGACGCATTCGTACATTTTGTAATGAAAAGGGAACTCTTTTCTGTTTAGTGTGTGGTACTCAGAGTGTTTTTCTTCAAATGTTGACAAAGGACGCCCCTTCTTCAAAGTCGGGCTTTGCTTTATATAGGCAAATAAAATAACTATCAGGATGCTTCAGGAGCCGCCACGTGTAAGACCACTACCTTTGTAACTTCTCCCACGTTTCTTTTGTTAGATTTATTTTCTCCCAGGCACCAAAGCTCCTCTGTCGGGGGTGCCTTTGTTGGCTTTTTGGTCGACCAACTTAGGTACTTGTCGACTACGCAGTTCCCCTTGTGATGTCGACTTAGGGTGCGTCCCTTCTGGATTTGTCGATATCGATCCTTTGCTGCCAGTATTGTCCAGACGCTTCCTTCCACCACATAATATTGCCGGTTAAGGGCTCATTTCCCCCACCTCCCGTCGAGGTCGACGCTTTCGCTGTCGATGCTTTCAGTTGGCTTATTTTTAGCCAACAAGATGCCCCACCGAAACCCAAGTCTCGACGGGGGCTTCTGTAGATTGAGGGACTTGGTGTTTTCTAGGCATGTAGCATTTGTCTGTGCCATCATGGTTTTTCTATCGAATCAGCCACGTGTCAGTCGCCTTATGACGTGATGATGGCACCTTTCTGCGCCATAACTTTAAAGGACTCCCATCATTCTTTTCCACCTCCCCACGTCAGTACCAACTTCCACCCATTACTTCTCCCACGAGTGAGAAGCTGAAAAAGCTCATTGTCTTCTCGTCTTCAACCTAGCGTTGATTATAAATATCTCTCAGACCTCATTTTAGAACTTTTTCCAAACATTCTCTCTATGCTTCTCCTTCTTCAACCAAAAAATAACCGTACTAATTTCTTAAACCACCATTCTCAATGGCATCCTCAATTGCTCCCCACTCACACAACGGGTAACAACCCCATTGCTTTCGTCATCTTAGAGGCTGACGCTCATAAGCCTCTTCCCAACCCCACTTCTGCGGACGAAAATGTCATGGCTGCTTGGAAAAAATAGATGATCATTCCCTTCGCGGTGGTCGGACAAGTCCATGCTTTTCACGGTCCTTACCCTACCGGCAAACCTAGCCATGAGGCCATGCAGCTGTTTTTCCTTAGCTTTTCGGTAGCCATCCCTCCGGCTTTTCGCAAAGGTGGCACTCTTGATTTAAAATTTATAGCGTCAAAGGCTAGAGTGTTTCATTCGATGCCACCCCAGGCAACAAAGATTACCTTGCCTGGTTGAACAAAGTTTAAAAAAAAACGTTAGGATCAATGGAGAAGGTCTGGCATCTTCGACGCCATTCAACTTTCAAGGATTGCTCACAGGGTCAACCCCGGTCTTCTACTGGCGTCAATGTTCTTCTGGGAAGGTTCAATGAACACTTTCCGACTACCCTGCGGGATGCTGTCGCCTACTCTTTTCGACGTGGCAGCCATTACTGGTCTTTCTCCTTTGGGCGAAACCTTCGACCCCACCATTGAGACTGAGGCATCTTTTGATTTCAACTGTGTTGGTTTTCAGAACTTTTTCGAAGATCATATGACAAAGATACATTTGAAGTGTCTGACGAAGAGCACATTGTCTTCTTGACTTTGTGGCTATCGTACTACCTCTTCTTCCTAGGTTATTTGCAAATAGCCAAAAGCTATATCAACTTGGATATTCAAATCCATGAGGGTCGACAGGTGGCCCTTGGAAAGCTTCTTCTAGCCTCTCTGTATCACTCTGTGAGGCTATCATCGCCAAAAATTTCCCATCTCTATGAAACTACCAAAGCCCTAAACATGTCGGGACCGATGTGGCTACTGCAACATTGGCTAAACGCCACTTTTGAGCATCAACTGGGCTATCCAGTGTCAGCCAAGATGCAATGTTTGAACGAGGACCGACCGGTGGAAGGAGTTCGACTTGCTCTCCTGACCACGCAGGAGACCCCCAAGAAAACCCTCTTCATGAAATATCTCACTATGTCCGCTGAGGCAAACATCTTTGTTCTTGGGATGGCTCCCTTTGCCCATCAAAGTTTTGGGCCGACCTAGTTCCAGAATCTCTTCCCTGGTGCTTCCCCCAGAACAAATGTAGTATCCAACTCCATATGGCGAGCTTTCCTAACCCCGACAATGCTATCATTTCGCATTGAATCGAGCAACACCAGCTACAGGTTCATGAACTATCAGCCCAATCTGGTTGCTTGACAATTTGGCATGAGCCAGATGCTGCCAAAGCCATTGGTTCGACATCGTGTGGGTTGGTCGAAGGCTTAACTTGACGGGACATAGGAATTGTCTCAAGTTTGCTAATTCGACTCAACATTTGGAGTTGCCCGTGTTTTTTTACAAACCTTTCTTTTTCACCACCGAGAGTTTCAATGTTTGGTGGTCGGAGTACCAAGCGCAACACTTCGACCATGACCTCTTCCTTAAAAACGTGGTCGACGCTTTTGCATCTCTTTCAGGCGAAGCCCTTGGTCCGTCGGCACCATTGGTGGATGCAAGGCCCACTAATCCCCCTGGGGGTGCACAAAAAAGGGTAAACTCACTCTTCTTCATCTTTATCTGCTTATGTTGAGTCTTTGCATTATTTCCTGAATGTTGCTTATCTTTTTTAGGGGCACAAGAGGGAACCCCCTATGGCGTTGACTTCAACCCAACCAACTAAAAAACAAAAAAAATTTAACGCTCAGGTGCGATATGTTTCCTTATCATTCTTGTTTCGCTTGTCCCTGCTTGTCGACTTACGTGATTTGTTCTAACCAGATTCCTGAACAACAAATCATTCCCGATGTGGTGCTGTCGGACGAGAGTACCTGTTCTCGGGTTTTTCCTTTTGAGACGTCGGACTCTCCCCCGACCACTCCTCTGAGGTGAAAAAAGAAAGCCCCAACAAAGAAAACACCCATCAAAGGGGTTGTTTCGACTCCAAAACTTGTCGTTCCTGAAGACTTAACTGAAGTCTTCCATACCGTGGTTACCAGAACTTCTCCTTCACCCAAAACTCCTGAGGTACTTTTCTTGTTTGTCCCCTCTTTGTCGATATGTCTTTCGTGCTTTCTTATCGACTTTTTACCTTGTTTTTTTTCCGCAGGATGCAGAAAATCCTGATTCTCCAACGTTAGCTG